AGCCAGAGATCTTGGGAGCCTGGGTCGCCCCCCCTGGCCCGCCCACACCCCCGCCCTCTCCAATCGCGCTCGTTGCCGTAGTCGTAGTGGTAGTAGTAGTAGTAGTAGTAGTAGTAGTAGCAGCAGCAGTCATCGTCGTCGTCGTCGTCGTCGTCCTAGTCGCAATCGCAGTCGTTGTCGCAGTCGCAATCGTTGTCGTAACGGTAGGAGAAGGCGAAACTGCTACGCATCAAATTAGGCAGCAGAATCAGCAGTTAACACGAATATGTAGTACATAAATAGATAAAATAAATAAATAAATAAATATATATATATATATATATATATGTATATGTATACATACACATATATACATATGTATATATATATATATATCTATGCGCAAGACCGAGAATGAAGAGAGGCTGTGTCGGAGGCAGAAATCATGAACCCCGAAAGCATCGGTACTGCGGAGATTCTGAATATGTCGTCCTGTCATCCAAACGGATTGAACATCGGCATGTTCATGATGTGCATTTCTCCTCGTCTCCTCCTCCTCCTCCTCCTCCTCGTCCTTATCATCTACACCACATCGTCAGCAGCACATGGTACAATCTGCACGACAACCGCGTGCAGAACAACGCATATATGGAGCCTTGGTAGTCACGTCGTTCACACATGAAGCATGCTCCAAGGTAGAGGCGACGGAAGAAAGCTTGCAGCAATTGGGAGACAGTGTCACGAAGGCCTCCTGCTGTCTGAAGTGTGTAGGCGCAGTTTGCATCGAATCTACACAGTGTGGCACTTTAGCGGGGTGGGGTGTAGTACATCTGTTATTGTTGAAGTACTCCCATACAAGCCGAACGTAGAACAACACAGAGCTGATCTAAGACCAGACCGTGGAAGTCTGCTTCAAACAGTCTATGGTTTGGCCAGCATGTAAGCCTGATGGAAAAGCTTTGGTGGTTTGGAGTTAAGTTTCTTGCTGATTTTGCGTCGTTTTGGGGGGGGGAGGGCAAAGACATTCGAAGGGCGCCGGGGTGTTTAGGAAACATGCTTGTCGGCTCTCTTCATGATTACGAAGCGCACCTCGCGCAGGGTTGACTGAGACCCCGAAACTCCAATAGCGAATGTCGGTCACATCCTAGCCTACGCGAGGCACTGCGATTGGTGAATGAAAACAGTGTTCCTAAAAACTAGTGGTCGTCCCATGCATCAAAGACACTGTCCGATGAAAGAAACAATGCCGAATGGGGGCCGACGCCATAGCAAAGACGCGGACGATGACAAGGATCGGCAGTGGCAGCAAGCAAGTGAAGGCGGTCATTCTTGAAGCGCCAGAACAAACACCCGTTGTGCTGCTCTATGCTGTACTTCGGTTGCCCTCAGATGCCATGAACTGTAGAACGTCAAGCCCCAGGCTTTGATCTCAATCCTGCAGTGCAGGCGTGCCGCACTGAAGAAGTGCTTCCATTACACTGTTACATTCTATTATGTTGTAGTGCAATATACTACATTACTGCATTATTTTGAACAAGGTATTTTTACAAACCGAGCCGAGCCGGGAAGCTTCTCAGCAATTAACTTACTGTACGGTGTGGCTGGCGCGAAGTTCACGACAAAGGAGCCATGGAAGAAGAGATGCCAGAGGTTTTGCGGGATGTGATGAGCACAAAGATGCCTACTTCTGACGAGGTGGTGCTCATGTAGGATGCTTGCGGGTCGGAAGAACGGCTTCATCAAAGTGCCGCAACTCCTCTGTCGCCTTCGCCCCCGAGCCAACACTTTTAGGCCTGTTAAGATCATCATAGACCTCGTGGGGGATTCCGAAAATAGGGGACCCTAATATAGTACCCTAAATAATAGGATCCCTATGATAAGGACCCCAAAATATGGTACCCCTTATTTTCGGAAACTCCCACGTGGTGCTCCTGCAAGGCACTTGTCTGAACCTCTGTCAAGACTGAAGAGCAGCGAGCTCCTTGTACGTGGAAAACCCTTGGTGGTGTGGGTTTAGGGTTTAGGGTTTAGGGTTTAGGGTTTAGGGTTTAGGGTTTAGGGTGTCATTGCCTTGGAATTTTCGACGTTTGTACACGGAGCTCGCACTTCAGTGAAGCGGTTTGGGTAGTTGTCAAAAATTAGGGTCCCTTTTTGGGTACCCTAAATATTAGGTGCCGTATTATATTACGGACCCAAAAAGGGACCATAATTTTGACAACCACCCATTTGACAGTGGACGGAGTCATGGAACCTTTGGCTCGACCGGGCGATGCATGCTGCTGCGGAGATGAGCTACCTGCAGACCTGAGCCAGAACTTCCTAAACTCCAATCCCGATATCCTAAACCCTAAGCTTTCCTTGAACCCTATACACCTTAAACTAAATCATAAACCTGACAGACCCTAAAGTCCTACACCAAAACACCAAATCCCGAGCTCAAACCTGATGTGCATTGCCAGGTTGTGGAGTCGAGCGGGGCCGCTGCTGATGAATCTGCGCTGACGCGCGCAGCGGATGTGCTGGAAAGTTGCCGTTCGCTGAGATACTGCTTGCAGGATTTTTTGGGTTTCGGGCTTAGGGTTCGATTCAACCTCAACCCCCAAAGCCCATCTGGCGTCCAACCTAGCTTAACAGGCAGGTGGAAAAGCGGTGTCGAACAAAAAGCTAAACCGATCCTTGAGCCAAGAACAGAGACCTAAACCCTAAACCCTAAACCCTAAACCCTAGGCCTTGAGACAGCTTTACGTTTGGCATTGCTTAGGTCTGGACTTGGCCTTGCTGCTTGGATGAAGATGATGTCCACTGTTCCTCCATACTCTACTTAAAGGATCATGGGGCTTAGTAAGTAGGGTTATAACTAAGGTACCTATACTTATAACCCCAATTAGGGGACTTATAACTTATAACCTTACTTACTAAGTCCCATGATCCTCCAAGTAGGGTTTAGAGTGTTTCAAATAAGGCTCCTATAACGGTAACTACCCACCTGACATAAACCCTAAACCCTAAACCCTCAAATATGTGAA